TGGTTTTATTTTCAATCAGATGTAATTTACTTGAAAAGTTTTTATCTCCTGCTCTGTAAATTGAACTTTAATTACATACAAGAGGCTCCTGCAGGGTCTAGCAAGCTATTAACAGAGAAGGAGATAAGAAAATCTAAATTAAACAGAATTGACAATAAAGGAAGTATAAACGTTAGATGACTCTTTACAGGAAGTGTTTAGGAAGGCTGTGTAAGTCACATGCATGGCGGTGTGCCTAGCGCTGCATAAACAAAATGTAGGATTTTAACTCCTAAATGGCAGTGAAGAGAGCAATGAAACTGTGTTTCATTGCTCTGCATTTGTTTTATACAACAACACTACTTCATTAAGTTGTTTAGGTGACTATAGTGTCCCTTTAAAAGAACACTATAGTCACCCAAGCCACCTAATCTCAATTCAGTGGTCTGGGTGCAGTGGATCTCTCATTTTAAACCTGCATTGTAAAACAAATCAGTTTTTTTTTAGAAACTGTAATGCTTACATTTCAGGGTTAAATTCACCTCCTGTGGCTGTCTTCCTAACAGACACTATAGGTGCTTCCTCCTGACCCATCTTCAGAAGACTTTATGCCTTTTGATGACCCAGTACTCCTCCTTCTTGACACAATTCTAGACTTAAAGGACCATTATAGTGCCAGGAAATCAAACTCGTTTTCCTGGCACGATGTAGACATAGGGCCCCCCCACCCTCATGGCCCCCTTCCTGCTGGGCTGAAGGGGTTAAAACCCCTTCAGCCACGTACCTTTTCCCAGCGCTGGGCTCCCTCGGCACTGGTGACCTCTCCTCCCCCTCAGACGTTGGCTCCCAAGTGGAGCCGAATGCACATGCGCAGCCAGAGCCGCGTGCGCATTAAAAAGGCCCATAGAAAAGCATTACTCAATGCTTTCCTATGGACATCAGCATCTTCTCACTGTGATTTTCACAGTGAGAATCGCAGAAGCGGCCTCTAGTGGCTGTCAGTGAGATAGCCACTAGAGGCCGGATTAACCCTGCAGTGTAAACATAGCAGTTTCTCTGAAACTGCTATGTTTTCAGCTGCAGGGTTAAAACTAGAGGGACCTGGCACCCAGACCACTTCATTGAGCTGAAGTGGTCTGGGTGCCTATAGTGGTCCTTTAAGTATTTTTTTTTCAATACCCATTATTTTCCTACCATGTTGCGTTATCATGTCATCTGACCTTATTCCCTTCCTTTGTCTGTGCCATCATCTCTCATACCCTGCCCTAGTCCTACTCTGCCTGACTAGCACATACATATTAGAGAAAATAGCAATCACATGTACAGATCTATATATTAGTTTATCTAGTACAGGAAATATTAATTTTACATGGCCCTTTAACATTTCTTACATAGCAGCACACTTCTATGGCACAAATAAGCACTGAAATATACATACATGCTAACACAAGCATCCGATAAAGGTGCAGTGACAATCATGATAATCTTGTTCTTAAAAAAAGCCTATTCCAAAAACTGAATGACCAACTCATGGCTAACAGGAAGGCCCAAGGGTCGAGGTCTATCGGTCTGTTGAATATGGTGGTCAGGAGGTCTCTGACCTTAATCTATTACATCCCCATCCCATGTGAACATAGGTGCCATCTCCCCACAGCACCTCCAGCACAGATCTGTTGCCCCCTTGCCCATGCGGAATCATTTGACAGGTGTGGTGTACCATCGCATCATTGTTTTCACCGCCTGTTCCTGGAGTCCCACACTAATAGACACCTTGCTAGAAGCCTCCCAGATATCCTGCCATATCCTGCCTTCCTGTACCTCTCGTAGCTCAGTTTCCCATTGGTTCATATAAGCTAGGTCACCCTATTCCATGGACTCTGAACTGATAGAATTGTGTAATATGGTGATCAGACCTTTACTTCCCACTCTCTCTCTAATAATCGTATCTTTAACATACTATGATACAACTTTAGCGTGAATGGCACTAGCCCTATGGCTAGCAATAAATAGAAATTAGATAAACAGGCATGTGACACTAGCTATAAGATTGAAACAATACCAGTGATTTTTTTAGAAACAAGGGTCACCCTGTAATTAGTTTGTTATCACAATTGTAGACATGTTGACATGAGTTGGCACAATGGTGACCATCAGTGGCTAAATTATAACTCTAGCTAACTTACCGTAATGGGTGTTGCAGTACAACAGCAGATCATGAAATGCCAAATGTGCCCTGGGCTAGTATAACTTGTTGCTCTGCCTACACCTTAATGTTTTAGGCAATTTAGCAGATGACATAATCTGTAGAAAAACAAATGAAGTAATTCATTCATTCACAGTGTGAAATAAAGGACTATATTGAACTTTAAATTTTTAACTCAAATACCTTGAAATTTTCATACACTAGCACTGCATTCTCCCAACAAAATAGTTTGTTCTGTGTGCAGAAATCGACATGCCTGTTTAAAGCAGTTGTTCGGTGCACTTTGTGTACGTGACTGGAGAGAGCTGAACTGACATATATCAAGTAGCCAATTTCCAGCCTAGATCCAGCTAGCAGAGAGACAGAGAAAATTAATACTGGGAATGGTTAGTAGCCACAATGGGGGATTAGCCTTTTTATTGCTGAAAGGGGATTAACATGAGATTAACCTCTCTTTCACTATCCAGATAAATTCTCAAATATATGGATAGACGGAGGAAAGAGTAGACAAACGGACTGGCATACAGACACTTTGTGTGTAGAAAATATAAAAATAATAGGAAAATACAAGACGCAAAAGGCCTAGCACACAACATCTTGAGAGCATAAACTGAAAAAGAGAGAGAGAGAAGTAAGCAGTATCAGCATGTTCTTTTTAAAGGTTACTCCAATCATCATAACCACTAGAGACCCCTGAAGGGGTTATGGTGCCAGGAGTAGCCTGGCCCAGTTTCCCAGTAATGGGGCAAACCATTTAGCAATGGTGCCCCTTACCTGGTTACCTGCTTGTCTCCGAGGTGGCTCCCTGGTGGTCTGGTGATGCATTTCTGCTTGCATTTATTGGCTGAGAGTGTCAGCTAGCTGCTCTCAGCCAATGACTGACTTGTGGATGACATGAACTCTAGTTCCGGGCTGGCAGGTGACACCCCAATGACACTAGTAATGACGCTGGTGTTAGGAGAGCCCAGGGGCTCTCCAAGAGTAATTTCTAAAACAGTTTGACAACTTACCTGGACCCCCTGGGTGACAACACTAAGTGTTCTGCATTAAAAGTCGAGTATCTTCACTGATCTAAACACAGCTCATACAAAGTACGCTCAACTGTTGTCAAACTTCTCTTGAGTGTACCAGCAGTTTTAGTGGTAGGATGCTTGGAGTGTTCTTTTTACGTTACCTCTGTCTTTTTTGTGTTTCTTTATAAAAATATTACGACTGTATAGTTGTATTGTTTTTATAAAGCAACGCAATAAGACATAGTGTCACCATCATTAAACTGTGTGAATACAGAACACAGTGTGCATAACTTGTAGCTACAACATTAGTCATACTACAATGTAATCCACAGTTATTTCAACTCAAAATCAGCTCCAACACACTCACAGGGTGTAATTAGCAGCACAATGCATAAGTGACGCAAGACACAACTGACAAACACAGGCACCACTTTTAAGTGCCAGCTGTTTTGTGACATATATTAACTCCTTGTCGACCACCAAGTATTTTAAAGGTCAAATTACAAACTTCTTCCTGTCAGTCAAACTTGTCTTGTCGAACGAACTTATGTGTTTTTTTTTTCCACTTATGGTACAGAGATTTGGGATATGTTAGTGCTTTATTAATAATATTAACTAAAAAAAAAAAAAACAATAATCTGTAAAGCATTGGTTGAACATTTTTTATCAGGGGTACCCAAAAGTTAAACACTCAACTGTTTTAGAATAGTAATTATTAAAGTATAACTGCAATTCCCATGATGCTCAAGACTAGCAAAGCATAACTAGGTGTTGAGGTGTACATTTAGGTCTCTCCTGTTAAGATCAACACAGTGATAATTGCAACCCCTATTATTTCCTATCTGCCTCTCTCATCCTTTCTATCCACAGTGCCTCACCCCCTCAAAATATTATTTTAGTGTTTGTATTAAAGGCCATGAGATTACAGCTGTACACTGGATTTACTGTAATGTACACAGCCAAGGCCCTCTCTCCTGAAAGCTGTTTATATGCATTTTCTGGTAGAAAATAAAGTGTGTGTGTAAACACAGGATCACATTGCTCAGCAACATGGAGACCTGGCTCTGGCCATCCCTTCCCCCTTTCTGTGTTAATGTTACACCCACTCCTGTCACCCATTATCACACAGTCCCCATGCTTGCTAAGTCTGAATGGGGAGGAGGGGAGGGGGGAACACCCATTCACTGTGTGGCTATCCATACACACCACTGAAAAAACACTGTATTAAAGCTATTATCAAGATATCATGTTAGATAAATGTGGGATAAATTACATTATTAGCTCCCAGGTCCATGAAATCTGGGGGTTTGTTTTCTATATGTTGTGCAATGGGGGTAAAAATTGACATTAATGTTAAAATATTCAGATATCTCCCTATGCAAATAATGGTACAAAAGGAATGCTTCGTACAGTCTGGGAGGTTTTTATTTGGTCCCTGCGTAGTTAGCGTAAGCTTCGGAATTTTCTGCACATTCTGCTACGACTTTCTCGTAGATGAAGACTGAGAATACAGAATTTGCAGAAAAGGGCAGCATAACAAGTCGACCTCACTGGTAAGTGGAGGGGGTGGCAGTCGGCCGCTTAGCGTTTGTGTTACTAGGGATATGATCGGCACGCAAAGTTAAGCATCGTACTGTGTAGTTAAAATACTCCCTAATCACACTCACATAGAAATCGACCTATTTATGTAATATGGAATTAGTGGTGTTTGTAATGCTAAGTAGATGTACCCCCCTCAGACTATCAGGCAGTTGGAACGTTCCACGTGCTATATACAGGAGGGCAGAGGAGGGGACGAGTCATTCGTTGCGAGCGCAGTGAGTCGATCAGTATTGTGAGCAGCTCACTGGCCACTAACCCCGCCTTCTGTGCAGTGACACTAATCAGGGTGGCACGCCTCCCGCTACCCACTCCAGCGCTGTCAAAGCTCATCTTCACTCAACCTACGGCCATTCCCACCCCACAGGCGGCCACCTACCTGCTCACGCTGCCCCCCAGGCTGGCCCCCCGGGGAATGCACCGTCCAGGGGCCCTGGTAAAGAAAAAGACGGAGAGGATCGTAAAAAGGTAGAGAAGAAAGAAACCTATCGGGAAAGAAAGAGTTAAGTCCAGATCAGCAGGGTCTGTGTATATATATTGATAACGCCCACCGTAAGCTCTGTATAAAACAGCTGCGCAGAGCTCCGCGTTCAGTAAGAGTATCAGATCCCAGCGGGGGCGGTGATGGCAGTGTAAGCCAGCCCCATGTTCCGCAGAGGAGGGCTTATGATGTGTGGCAGGGGGATGCTGGACCCCTGGGGTCCCAGAGGAGAGGACTTTGAGTCTAAAGAACGTGTGGGAGGTAGGTCCAGGTGGCAGAGGAGGGGGTCTGGGAGGAACCACAGGGGCAAACATGGCTACTCCCCCTACAGCCGGCCCCGCGCCCTCAGTCTGAGACCTGTTAATCTGATGGGCAACCGGGCCCCTGGCATGAGGGCCCCAAGAAACACCAACCAGTTTCTGATGAGTGAGAAGTACCAGCTGCTGAAACTACGCTCGGATTCCGTGGGGACTGAGGGCAGTGGGGGCTCCGACTGTGAGATGGACCCCCTGGACATGGACTCCTACTTGGGGGTGCTGGAGAACGCCCACGGGGCGCTGCTGGAGCCTCAAGAAGCTGGAGAAGTTGAGACCTACTGCTCCTCGTCCGCCTCTTCCCCGCTTTGTCCTTCCCCCCAGTCCTCTTGGAGCCCGTTCAGAGGAAGTGACAGAGTTAACAGAGGGCAGGTGAGATGCGAATCGTTAGCCACGCCCAGCCATTCGCCGCGACTGCTCTGCGGGGGCGGGGCTATACTGGAGCTCCTCGGGGAGAGCAGCGAGCAGTACTATCCGTCTGAGAACGATGTAATAGAGAGTGAAAACTTCATGGAAAGGGATTTTAACGAATTCTGCAGTAAAATTATTTGAATGTTCAGATACTAATTTAAGATACTATTTTTTTTTAATTTTTTTTTCCTTCTCTACCAAAGGCTCCAACAACAGATTTTGTTGTTTGTTCCTGTGGTAGTTAACGCTATTTCTAAAGGGTCTTCTACCCTTTGGTGTGCAGCTAAAATACACATATCGTGGTGGGGGGTGGAGGAGTTCACAAACAGCCATAAATTATTATTTTATATAATGTTGGGTTTAAGGCATGTACTGTTCTAAAAGCCTTACCATAAAATATAAAGTGTTTACTCTTTCAGTGCCATTCATAATAGAAATGCAATGCAATATGTACACCTCAACAAAATCTTAAAGATAAAAGGAAGTAGAGAGCTAACCATTCTACTCCCAGATAAGTCTTCAGTAAATTTAGTTATTTGTAAAATGTAAACAAAATTATCTGGATCAAAACAAAAATATCAATTCTAGTGCTAAGTTCTGAATGTGAAGTTCAGATTTTTTATTATATATTTTGTTTAATTCCCTAGAATCCATCATTGTGATGTAAAAACCAAACTGCAAAAACAGCTAATTTATGACTATTTGTGATTTGGTGTTTTTTTTTTTTTGTTTTTTTTGTTTTTCTGAATCTGCTGTTTTGGGCTAAATTATACCATTTGTATTACAATTCATCTTCATTTGTTTGACTAAATCTTGCTAGCACACTGTTAAATGAATAGGTCTTGAACTGGTCTTCTACCTACTAGTAGTGTAAAGAGTGTTTGAGGAAGGATATGTTGGATGTTTAAATCTATGTTTTGTAAGGGATAGGGGTATTAATCATATATGTCTGTTTTTGTTTGTTATATGTATATAAATGTCGTGTACCTGTCTATCTGACACAAGCAGCCCATTATACATGTAAATATCTTGGACTAAAATCTATACCTAACACTACCAGGAGGGGTGTTACAAGCAAAGAGACTCAACAAGTTTTGGCCAAAAGTAGACTTTTTAATGTATATTTTATGGGTTTGTTGTCTTTTTCATAATATTCTGTAAATAAATTTTGTAAACTAGTGCTTTAAGAGACTACTTTTTTTTATTTTTGTTAAATTTGGGGGAAAAAATAAAAGTGCTTTCACTGATTTTGGTAAATCTGATGGTAAATGTATTAAGAGGTAGTATTACTAATTAACAGTTTCTTATAACTTCCAATGTTTCATGTGTGCTTTTTATATATTGATGTCAGGAGTTATTTTTTTTAATTTATTTTTTTAAGTTAATAATTTTGATTTATTCAATAAACATAGAAACATTATAGTTGGCTGAATGGCAATAGCCATGCCTTAGAGTTGGAGAATTTTTCCCAAATTTTTGTAATTCAATTTTCAATTACCTACAATTTGGTGATTAGTTAATAAACTAAACGATTATTCTTTGGTTTTATTACTCAAAACCTCAATATTGCTATGTGTTTACCTTATTTCCCCCACAATTTTTCCTTTATTAATTTATACCATATAATGGATGGTCGAAATATGCAGATAAGCTTTTTAAAGGTAATGGTTTTTCTGTGACACATTGATTGGTTTTGCTAGCTAATGTGGACAGTGCGTTCAACACACATTCTAGAATAAACATAACTCTGGAAATTGAATAGCATTTTCTCCACACATGTTGATGGTGCACTATAACTACTGTAGTTGTTGGGGTTATCAGGAGTGCCCACTCCCCCATCTCCTCTCAGACAGTCAGTAACCCCTGCTCAGGAGCTTCCATTAGCTACTGAGTAAAGTCCTGCTGCGTCAGCTGATCTCTCTGCCACTGACTAAGACCTGCACCTGCCATGCTTGGTTAACCTGAGAGCTTCTGGCTAGAAAATAGGTAGATAGCAGTGCTTGGCAGACCCAAGGTAATTACTCAAACATTCTAAAATGGTTTTACTACTTAAAATAGTGGGACACCAGGGCATTCCTGTCACTATAATGATATCCTGCAGTCAGCAGTTGTTATGGTGCTTGAAGTGTTTCATTAAGGGTCACTCTACGCAATGTCACAAACTTGCTTTATTGGAGAGGCTATCATAAAGAAGCTACAGTGCACCCACTCTTTGTTTTAAGAGTGACTTATATCATCTATAATTGAAAAGTGTTTATCAGAAAGCCAGGACTCTCAGTTCAGAGTTGCATGTGACAATTTGCATCCACCCTTGGTCTGATTTCTCTCTCCTTAACAGCTGCTTACTTACACAAACATCATATCTTCTGGGATGGGTTGGGGGCCTAAAGGGGCTTGTCAGTGACATCACTGACAATAACCAAAATGGGAGCTCCCATCTAGAAAGGAATATTGACTGACCACAGAAGGGGCATGGTGTGAAAATTGGTCAGGGTGGCCCTTCTAGTGCAGACCAGCAGAGAGTCACTAATTTATATAATACATTACAAAATAGGGGTGCTTTAAAAAACAAACAAACAAAGTTTTAACTACTTTCCCTTCAATTTGATTGCTTGAAATATAAAGGCTCATAAATGGGGATTTATGCATTTAGTAACAAAGTCGATGTGGAGCATTCATCTGTTTCATCCATTAATATCTATGGTGAATGCTCTACTTTGAGAAGTGGTATTGCAATTTATTCAGAATCTTACACTACACTCCTTCACCCAAATACAGATTGGTTAATTTTGGCCAAGTAGAACTTGGTATTAAAAGTTCTGGGGTTTTAGTTGCAAGTTTGTATAAATAATAGACTGGTATGTCTCATTTCAGCCCTACAGTTAATATTGCATATAGAAGCAGACCTGCAGGTTTGTCAACTACTTAATCTCTGCCATCGCCACCATGTTTTACCAGTGTCATTTGTAGATTTTCCAGTCCAGTGCCGAATAGCTGGTCTCAAAGAACTGATATCTAGTGGTTTACAGTGACTGAGCAATATTTGTAATAAAAAAAGAAATTAAAGTGCTAGGGAAACAAAGTTGTTTTCCTAACATTATAGCTCTATACAGTGCCCCCCACCCTTTAGCCCATGTTGCAGATGGGGATGAAAACCCCTTCTGTATTTTACCTGAATCTAGCGCCGATGTTGCACAGCGCTGGTTCAGGCTCCACTCTGCGATTGCATTAGGACTCCCCCCCCCACTTGCTTTCCTATGGGTTTTAAGGGGAGTTAGGTAAAGCTGGATGTCTAAATGCATGGTCCCTCTAGTGGCTGTCTGGGAGACTAGAGGTGGAGTTAATCTTTGCAGGTAATTATTGCATTTATCAAAAACTTCAATAATTACAGTTGCAAGGTTGAGAGGCCTGAGACACTGCATCCAGACCATTTCAATGAGCTAAGTGGTCTGGGTGCCTATAGTGTCCCTTTAAGTAAGCTAGTGTTTGTAATGTACCTGTCATTGAATGCACAACTTAATAGTAAAGTGCACAATATATCATGTACAAATTGTATTAGTAGACTTGCTAGAAAATGTATAGGGTATTATGTAAATAAGCACTTTCCCCAACATATCTTCTCCATGAACTATCACTAAGGTAGTACAGCGGCTGGTCAGATACTATCATCTAAGGCAGGGGTTCCCAACCCAGTCCTCAAGTATTCCCACCAGTCCAGGATTTAGAGATTACCCTGTTGCCATAGTGTTTTCCTTAACCACTGCTCTAATGCAGCCATATCATGCATCGTATCTCATGAATGCAAACCCTGGGGCTTAGCAGCAAATACAGGGACCTCAAAGGTAGATGTGTGTTTTGTTTTTTTGGGGGCGAGTTACACTTTTTATATATTTACAGGAAGTACATCATGCATTACAAAAAGTGTCAATCCCCCTTGTTTATTTTGTTGGCTAGTCTGGAATTAGTATATTAAATTTGGGGCCTATAAAAAATTATGCTCCGAATAGAAGCAATATTTATCAACAGCTACTGCTAAATAAAGATGAAGAGCAGTCTGTGAGATTTCTAATTGATCCCCATTTAAATATTGAATTGACTTTATAAACATTCATATGGTTATTTACTTATGTGAGAATTCAAAGTGAATTTGAAATGTAATTTTCATTTCAAATACATACATCCAACATTCCAAAAGGACACTTATTTTAAGGGTGTGGATGGGGGTGTGGTTACAGGTGGATTGTTCTGAGAAATTGTAGATTACTTACTAATTTATGCAAGCAAAATGTTGTTTTAGAAATAAGAACAATGGTTGTTCTTTACACAGAGTGATTTCTAAGAAACCTTTTATTTTAGTTTAACGGGTTATTCCAACCATTTTTAAGAGCTCCCAGTGCAGTTTTCCACGCCCCCTGCTGATGTCACAAGCTGTGTGAGGTATAATCAAAGGCATCTCAAAATAAAACCTGCGCTAATTGAATCGGCTGCACACAGGGAGGGGACATCCAGGCTCAATACATCCATTGCCAGCGTGCACTGTGCACTGACAACAAACATTTTATGCAAAGAATTCACATTTGGCAGTATAGAACAGAGTTCCAGGCTGCCAAAGTTACGTGTGCCGTGGTTGCAACTAGCGCTCAGCACACTAATATGTGCAAAATTTGAAGCATAAATGCAGCACATACAGACTCCTACCACCATGACCACTTCTAAAAGCAGAAGTGGTCACGGTGGTTGGAGAAACCTTTTAAATACACATAATTGTAAGTATTATTGTTTTGGAGCTCTGTTAGACATTCAGCATCAACAATATGGAGCTCCTGAAAAATAGATACATTAGAATGTAAAAGTGGGACAGAGGGATTTTGGCCCCAAATAATGGACTTTCCCTCCTAAATGCTTGGGATGCTTTCAGTTGGCTACTCTGGCCTTTAATCCCTTAAGGACCAAACTTCTGGAATAAAAGGGAATCATGACATGTCACACATGCCATGTGTCCTTAAGGGGTTCATTTGAAATTCATTATCAATTCTCACTTTAGTAAAGTGAGCCAGTGTTAAAAAAACAAGTAGACTGAAAGGAGGTCTCCAGGATTACCAGATAAAGACAAAGAACCAGGATCACCTCCCTCTTCTTCTCCCTCATCGTTGTGTAGGTGCTAGGGATTGGTTTACATACACTGGGTAGCAGAATCCGAATCAATTCATTCTCTCCCTTAGGCAGGAGAATAAGGCATGTGCTTCTGGCCTCATGTCTTCAGGTAAACTGAACTGGTTTTTATTATTAGAGAATACATTTTTATTGATTTGAACTGTTTAACAAAACATTTGCATTTTGAAATCCATAAATCATGATTTACAATTTGAAGCACTTTCTTTTATGAAGCAGTATAAAAGTAGCATTCAAAGAAAAATTTGACACTATCATTACTGCCCAATCCCACCATGACAGCCATTACCACAGCACAGCCCCTCTACAGTTCCAATCTGCAACACAGCTCTTATCTTCCTGTCACAGTCCCTATTTCCCTCACTGCCTCATTCCCTAATCACAGTCTTCCCCCAAAGCCTCTCCCTTCCATTATAGCCTCTACCTCCCACCACAGCCCCTTATTACCCCACATTAGTCATACCCTCCCACACAATGTAGCCTGTCACTATATATTCCCCCTCTGTCAACCCCCTATGGTGCTGAAGGACTTCTCTCCTCCACCGACGTCAGCCGGCGAGGGAGACCTAATGCATCAGTACGGCAACCAAAAGTCACCGAACAGCCCAGAACGCTCTCTATTGGCTGTCTGGTAGACAGCCACTAGAAGAGGAGTTAACCCTAGAAGGTAATTATTGCAGTTTATCAAAAACTGCAATAATTACCTGCTTAAGGTTAAGGAACCTGGGGCAATGCACAGAAACAACTTCAATGAGCTGAAGTGGTCTGGGTGCCCATAGTGTCCCTTATAGTAATTTAAGGGGGTAATCCTACACCTCCAACACCATATATGCCTTAACTGGGGTGATATGGATTTGAAAATGCAGGAAAGAGCCTGTGCATCCAGGCCAGGGGGGGAGTCTGGGTTGTGAGTTAATGGATATAAGGGGTGATTGAAAGAAGGTGTTGTGTGTATATGTTCCCCCTGGTGAACCTGTGAATGTGAGCAGGATACATGGTGGTCCAGTGGCCACCTTGGTTGCCTAATGGGTAATCTGAATCTGGCAATGCAACTCAACCAAAAGATACGTGGTAGAATCCATTTTACTATATTTTTGGTGGTAGGGAATAAATTTGCTTGATGAAGTTGAGACTAGTTACCCATATCCCCAGAGATTTGATTGCCCTGTCTGAAATAGTGATGTTTAGAATGGTGAACAATAGTATAATTGTTGTTATTATTATTATTATTATTATATAATTTCTTATGAGTAATGTCATCCTGAAAGGATTTGCATAATTTCCCTTGAGGTCTGGCTGGAGGACGTGCATTTCTCCTGTATAAATGTAAGCGAATATACTGTAACTTACAATGTGGTTAGACATTGCAGAGGCACTTCAGGCACCACACTGTTACGTGCTATGTGTGGGTTAGGTTAAATTTTGTTACACTGTTTTGTTTTAGTTTTTTTCTTTTTGTTATTATCATTTTATTTTGTAAAAGGCAGTAATCGTTTCCACTTTAAACTACAAAACAAGTGAGACAAGAAACAGACAGCCAGAAGTGCTAATGAAGCCAGCAGTTTTATAAAATAAGTGAGAAGGGATATGCACAGTGACATTGCTAGGGTCAAAAATAACTCAGGACTTGAACCCAAAAATCAGCTGACGCTCTCAGACAATCAGTAACTCTCCACTCACAGAACTGGCTTGGAAAGAAACTTACTTTATCAAGCCAGTTTTGTGAATAGGGGGTCACTGATTGGCTTACAGTGTCAGCTGACTGCTCTCATCCAATCAGCGGCACACCTGCCCGGCGGCACTCCACTCATTGTGAAACTGAAATTTCAGAAGCCGGGTGCCACCTGCGGGGAGTTGCAATTGGCGTTGGAGACAATTTTGGGTTAAGCCGTTCGAGAATAAACTTCATAAAATACTTATGCTAGCCTTCATTCAAATTCAAACACAATCCTAAAATAGCATAAAACAAATTATGGACAACTTTGTCTTATGGGCAAGCCTGATGTTAACTATTGTTAAATCCCAGCAGCCATCGCAAATTATGGTTGTAGGAATGAAACATCATCTTGCTTATAGTGAGCCGTAATCTATGGAGACAGTTCCCAGGAAGAAGATGACGGCAGTCTCAGTAGGTAGGTGGTGGCAGCTGTGAGGAACAGGTAAGGATACCTGCTTTCCACTGCACCCGCAGCCACGGGACTTTAAGTGGAGATGTCATCATCAAGGTCTTACCAAAATATAGAAAGACCCATGAAAAAGATAACTGTTTTAAGGCCTTCAACTTCTGAAGATCTTCACATTTGGCATTATCACTCTTAGCATGATAACGCAGATGTGGTTAATTATTCTCATATAGAAACTTTGGGTTCTTTGCTTTTCTATAAGAAGCTATGCATTGACTGATTTTGGACAGTGCCGTATTTGCCACAAGGCAGCATCACCGGCTAGCCCGTTCTGCTGTGTGGCTGAGGCCGACAAAGCAGATTTCCCCGGACCAGCTACTTCAGCGGGGGCACTCAATAAAGCTCTCCTTTGCCTGTATTATATTTGAGTGTTCCCAAACTTTCCACTACAGCCCCAATTTCCACACTTTAGGCTCTATCCCTCCACTACAACCCCTATTCACCCACTAAAGCCACTATCCTACTTACTACAATTCCCCCCACTATAGCCCTTAAAACTCCTGTTGCCTCCACCATCATCTACATATGGCAGCATCCCACAACCATAGCCCTAATCCACTATAGCCTTAATCCTCGCACTACTGCCCCTATTTCCCCACTACATTCCCTATCCCCCTACTATAACAGCAAAAAACATATGTGAGGAAGGCTGAACTTGATGGACGCAAGTCTCTTTTCAGCTATGTAACTATATAACTACTACCCCCAACTAAAGCCCCTATTCACACTACAGACCCAAATGCAAAGCAACAAGCAGCCACCCTCAAACATGCAACCCCACAAGCAGCATTCACACAAACGTACAACACCACAAGCAGCCTCCACACACATACATACACACACACACTCCCACCTCTGTCCTACTTATCCAACCACCAACCTAGTCACATTCACCAAATTAGTCATATAAACGCATGCAATCTAATACTCCAAACTGTGTGTATGTGTATATACATGGGGCAGCAAGGAGGGTCAATCAGGCCCTAATTGTGAATCACTCTGATTGCTGTACGTGTGCCATAGGTCCTCAGTGATTGGACCACAGATCATCAGGGCTGATTATCTCGGCTACATTGAGACTATTTTTTCAGATTAGCTGTTTTAGTCTCAATTTTGCCATTCAGGTTTAATTCACTACAGTGTTGACACAGTGTAATATGCCATGTGTTGTTCACCTGAGGTTGTATTTACCTAATTTTAAGACCTGCTAAGGAACAGATGATTGTTATTATGTCCTGATATGTAAAATCATAGAAGTCAAACAGGGTGTACTTTATTTTTCCCATGAATGTATCTGTCTTAGGCACTAGTCAGTTTTCACTAGTCCATAAGGTACAGATTCAGGGAATTAGTGATAACTGCCCCCCGGCTATCACCTGTTCTTATGTTACTTAATAGAACTCAGAATTATTTAGGAAAAACATAAAATTCAAACTTTCCAGAAGTGGCTACCTACATGTTCACAGGACAGTATACATTTATGATCAAGTTTTGGAAACTCTCTGGAAATGTATGTATATTTAGGGTGGGCAAGTTAAAACAATGGCTGTTTCTATTGTACACATATTTGTGTTTGTCTACTTTACATTATTTTAACACTAATATTTTCTAATATTTCTTTCAGTGTGAATGTGAATAAACATCATTTGCGAGGATAACACAGAAGCAAGATCCTGTCTGTCAATGGGACGTTGTGTGCTGCATAATGGGTCTACTCACTACAGGCTCAGGAGAAAAGAGGAAAAGGGAACATTTTCATATGTTGTCCAACAGATAGAAAAAGAGGAAAATAGGGAATTCAACACACAAATGCTCTGCTAGAAAACGTGTTTACTTGACACCCACTGCATCCCAAAAGCGGTCCAGGGACAATGATGCAAACAAAGATGTCTCTGAGCACCTAAACCACATATATAACCCCAGATTTCTCCACCTACAAGTGGAAGGTGGCTGGCCATGTTTCTCTATCAGCATATTTAAGCCCAGAGTGCCTCCTAATCAGTGCTTGGTTGTTCTAAGTGCTCTGTTCCTGACGCCTTGTGATTTTCCTGTTTTCTGACCTGCCCATCTTCTGAATTATTTCCTTGTTCCTGAATCCAGCTTCTGACCATGCTACTTACTGCCTGCCCAGACCTTTGGACCGCTTGACTTCAGTTCTTATCTCCTCCTTCTCGGATTCCGCTGCCTTTTTTTAATTTAAATGCCCCTGTGTGACCACTAACCAGTTTTCACCTTCAAGTACTCCTTAGGGTCGTGGGGACTGTTCCACTGAGTTCCTTATCAACAACCACAGTTTTATGAAACTTGACAAAAAGTAGTGAGGAAGAAAAGTAACCAAAGCTATTGAACAGAAAAGATGCAAAAAAGTTATTACATTAACTGCAAGGTTCTTCAAACAAAAAAGCATTCTGCTACTATGTTGTTGTATAAGACCCTCCTGAGCAAAAAAAAATAAGGATTATTATGATGACACCAAGTTTGATTAGATTCTGAAAATATGAAACTGGCTCAAAAGCACTGGCAGCAATATAGATAAATTAGAATTCACTGCTGTACCCATAGCAATATTTAAAATGGACGAAAGGGAAATTTTAATTTAAGGATGTGATTAGGAGAGTTGCCAGGGGCTGGGCAGTTCTGAGAAATTTTAGATGACTTATTAATAACAATTTATGCAACTAAAATGGAATTTTGAACAATTGCAATGAAGTTCTAATTCCACACAACCTTTTCATTTGGGACATCCAACTAAAGCCAATGTGACTCAACTTGGGAAAACTGCTTCATTTGGCTTTGACTATAGTTGTTGCAACTTTGAATCCACAATCAAGTATCATGGCACATCAAATTAGAACCTTGGTCACGATATCTTCTTATATGTTGGTATGTTACTAGATACTAGGCTTTCATAAGGTCTTCATACTGATAAACTATCACTGAAACTTTATCTCAGTATATACTCTGTTCTTAATGTTTTAAACCCCTAAGATCTTGATATCTGTCTGCCAAGTGACCCAGTCTATGATAAAACTGCATATACTGGGTTGTTAACAATTGTCAGACATCTTGATTTATCATAGTAATAATAAGTCCTGATAGTCAAAAGGTATGTCTATCAAAAAATATGTAAGAGGGAATAAGACAGAGAATAGGATAAAAGCTCTGAAACTGGAAAAAGTGGGGTTTCATCAAATCCCATAAGTATTCATAAATATAAAAATAAAGGCATCCAGGAGCTTATAACATATAACTAACAGATACTAGATATATGATATAGAGAATAAATATAGATATCAATATTAATACAATTCTAAAATTCTAAAACACTTAAAACATCCAGAAAGGAGTTAATAGACAATTACTTAATCTTATATATCAACAATGCATAAGAGTCCAAATTGTAGATGGATAAGGGATCAGTCCAAGCAGATGATTATAGCACATATAGTCTTTAAGCATGTATCATAAATAACCTCTGACCTATTTGAATATCCTTTACAGAATCAGATAAGGTTCTTATGAATTTATTCTACATTCATATAAGAAAGAATAAAATAAAAGAAAATAAAATATAAAATAAACAATATGATAAAACACAAAATCTAGGCTTGTTAGTATCACAAACTAACAGCCTAATTGACATTCTCCAATATAAAAGTCTGGGCTAACCGCTAGAAACAGCAACTGCAGCAAACAGGGATAGATACTAAAGTATTCCGTATTGGTGCCCTAATGGTACTTTAGATTACGTCTATATACATCGAAGACGACTTGTAGAAAATAGTGTTGTCAAAAAAGAAATGCTTTATTCACGTTAAAAATAATAATAAATAGTTCTAATAAAAACATGAAATACTGGGTAAACCATATACCACAAAAATGTTCCGAAGTAAGAGAAGGTGAAAAGACCATATAACCTGAACCGTTCGTCTGGATGGCTGAGGATGCTGATATTCCCCTTCCGAGTTGGTACTGCAGCAGCCGGTGAGGACGGCGTCCGCATTCTTTGGCACTCCACCTCCGACCTCACATCAAGAGGTGAGCCTCCAGAATGACGTTGTGTAGTGGATAGAGATGTCTGTAGATTACCGAGTCTTGTTCTCTCCAACTCTTCTCTTCGTATTGATTTCACAGCCTTATGCGTTTCATAGGGTACTGCCCTATTTCATCAGAGGCATGTCTTAATCTTAGTCCATATTGGTATATATATACACAGTGTCCTACAAGTCATCAATTGCTTATAATTGCATATCAAATCGGAATTTAGAACTTAAAATGAACATACAAAATGTAAATACTATAGCTGTGATTATATCGGTACATAGAAAATACGAATGAATGAATGTTCCAACTACATAAATCACACATATACATCGTACATATAAAAAATTTATAAATAAAAATAAACATGTAAATCCATTAATTTGTCTTCTTATGTCTATTCCATTCATAATAAGTCAGAACTATACTGGTTAAAACATTGGACCTTTCTATGTAAAAGCAGAAATAAAACAATAAAATTCCAATTCAGGTCCACATTCTGAGATGAAAAAAATGGAAAAATATATAATAGGATAATAAGTGGCATATACGAGGATAAAAATAAATAAGTCAAAAAATAAATGAGATAAATATATAAATCTATGAGCCAGAAATCTGTCACTACAGTAAAAAATCCTAAAATACTATTAAAATAAAATAAAAATCTTAAAATAAAGAGGGATTACTTAGTGGTACATAAATATGTCTCTGTCTGCCAGTATCGGTTATAGACAATCTGGCAATCGGTAATAGGCCAAAAACTAGCAATAGAAAAACACAATAAGTTGCAATAAAAGTGACAATGATGTAATTCGCACATAAAGATAGAAAACACAACCGTAGGAGAACAATAAAATATGGGCAGAGGAAATAAAACCTCAAAAAAATGATGATAGTAGTCAAAATAATTCTGAACCCATGAGATAACATATAAAATCGATGAGATAGAAGAGGTATATTAATGTATTTAATTAGTGGAAACCTTGTTAGAAGGCATTCAACTCAAAGTCCACATTGAGACCCTTTGGTATTAGGGTGTTAAGGGTAAAAATCTTGATTTATCATAACTACTTTTGCTATATGTATATTTTCTTTCTTAGAACGTGTAACATTGTATTACAGATACCCACAATCAATGGGAATTATGGCAAATTAATAAGAAAATAAATATATTTTGGTCTAATAAAAGCAACTCATTGTGAGTTGATTGCCAACTTGAAATATTTAGGCTAAAATTGTTTATTCAGCAGGCCTGCGGAGCTTCCCAAATTTAGGAATTTTTGCCTTAACTTTTTGAAGCCAATTCTCCACTTACAGCAACTGGCTGTTAAATGTATCAGAATGTAAATGGCTAGGTTTAGCACTATCCATTTAATATCCTCCTGGTTCCTTCCTAGTTAGGTTTGCCATATTCCTGGACAAATATTACTTAAATCATTGACTTGTGTTATGTGAAATTCAGAAGCTGCTGCATGAAGTTAAGCCATTAGTCTTTTAGGGATCCCTAGAATATACAGTATACATGCTGCAGGGCAGCTCTCTTCATGTGTTTCCTTTGACATTAGGAAACTATAAGCACCCTGGAAAACATTTGTGGATTTGACAACCCTAATGATGGAGAAACTAGGGAGTAAAAATAGGACACAAGGATGAGCCATTATTCTTTGTAAGCCCCATCTTCCATTATACTTCCAACTCTCAGTTTTATTTCCTCTATCAATTTAAACCTTCCACTGTTTTCCTGTCCCATTCCCTTTTTTTGCCTCTTCTGCTTGTTGTTGCCTCTTCTTGCTTCTTTATTTCCTCCATATACAAGTATATCGGCCTCTCTTCATTCAAACCTTTTTTTACAGTCCCCCATGCATTTATGAGACTTGTGAATAGCGAAATAATTTGTTTCAGCCGCAAATTTTTAAAATAATTCGGCCATATGTCAGTGTAGCTCTGCTGATTTTTATTCAGAGAAAGTGGTGGGAGTCTAGTTATTAGTGGTATCAGGCAGGAGACAGACATGAACCCAATTAGTTTTAGAATTAGAAATGGCAGAGTACCCTGACCGTAAGAGCAAAAGATGATGCAGGTTAAAACTTAACTTTTATTATTATCACCTAAAAATGTGTATATTTAAATATCAGTCAGTATGCTGGTGTATCAAAGGATTAACAATATTAGTAATCGATAGATTTCAAAAGTTGAATCAAAATATAACGTAAATATTTCAATAGATATCAATAGATAGATATATATACAATGAAGTAAAGTGAAAAATAAAATAAAATAAGGTATTTAGAAATAGTAAGAAAAGAAAATTAAATAATAATAATATATATGTATATTAGTGAGACAGAACCCAAATTTCCAAACACATCATTGTTATCTAATGTCCTCAAGAAATCATGGTTCTGAATCACACTGGTGTTGGTTCTTACTTAGAATGTACAGATAATTATCTCTCTGAGTCAAGCAGACCAATGTATCTAAAGCACTGACACAATGAGCTTCTACTGTTAACCTCTAAAGAGCAACAATGTATCTCAGGAGGTTGTTACAAATAAAGGGAACCTAAACTAAGTAGCGCTCTGGGAAATCGTGGTACACCTAAAGTTTCACACCAAACCGTAAGACACAAATTAATCATATATTATGATAACTGAGAGACAAGAAACCTACAAAACCTACAAAACTAGAGAATACTGCTCTGTAAGGATTCTATGCTTTGCCTTTGAGGGCACCTGTACTTCTGGAGCAAGCAAAGAGCTAACTATCACTGAAGTAAGCCGTATTCGATCGATCTAGTTGTACCTGGACTAAAAATGGCTACTATCTCTGATACATCGTAATGAAAGTCGGTGAGTACAAAGTCAAGTCTAGTCTCAGGTAGCAAGTGAACCCTGAAGCGTGTTTCGCCGGCAAGGCTTCCCCTGAAGAGCCGCCTTACCGGCGAAACATGCGTCGGGGCTCACTTGCTAGCAAATAAACACTGTTATAGCGAAGTTACTAATTTAAAGATATTATTATTATTTTATTATTTATATAGCGCCATCAGATTCCGTAGCGCTGCTATCTTTGTTTTGTATGATCTTATTACTTCCCAAAATTTTTGTATGAGCAGATATTGAACTGATAATTAAATATTTACAATTATTCACTTTATGGCCAAGTTATCATATAATCGCCCATCTTTGAAGGTTTCCCAGGAAAACAAAATGGTCTGGATATATTAATATAATAATGGCAACGTATGTCATGGAAAGTAAGTTCAACCCAGTACATTTAATGTAACAAAGCAGTCTCTTATAATTGACCTTTGGTAATGAACGTATATTTGATCTGTTGTTTGCCTACAAAGATAATCTAATCTGATTCAACTCTTGCTATGGAAATTATATTAACACTTCATACGTAATTACGATGTAAAAAAACAATCAATCATAGCATCAAACATAAACTAGTCACACCAGACACATGCTTGTGATGATGATTGCAAGAATGTGACTGACCAGTCTTGTTCTTGAAGAACAAGTTAGAAGCAGTTGCTAACCAAATCCAGAGACACATGTGTTGTATGAGTTAGAGAAAAAAAAAAGTACACAATAATTTGTTTTGATGAAAGGTCTTCTTTTATTTAGCTTCCAAAAGGTATAAATACATATTAACTTCATCATAAACTATAAACACATCAAACATAAACTCTAGTCCCAGAGAGGGCTTCTATAACAAACACATTTCCATTCTATAAGCCTGAACTATCTAAATGAGAGCGGGACAATGTTTTATGTATTCAATTTAATGGCTCTTAGATCGAAAGTTGGTTGTCTTTCAATTATCTTGCATTTTTTTCTATCGTTAATTACAAATTCCTCTTGCAAATATCAGTACCAATACCAAAGATCTCTCTAACACTCGCTTCCTGTATTGAAAACAAAACTCACCACTCGGGAATGAACATAATCTCTCCATGACACTATCAACTTCACACTTCACCCTTTGTAAACCTTTTAGCCTACCCCGAAACAATCTCTGACCATACAGAAAGAACCTGTAAAAATATCCTATCTATAAATAAAAAAAAAAAAAATTACATTCAAAAATTAATAAACTTATTTAAAGGGTTACTGTTTCTGGTCTGAATAACTCTTCTATTCTGCCCCCCACCCTCCCCACCCCAAAGTAACTATACAGAAAAAAGAAAAAGAAATGAATAGCAGAAACTCACCGTCCAATCCAGTGCCAAGGCCAAGTTCTCCCTCAGCCCGATCCTCTACTGCCATAACTCCTCTTTGGAAGTCAGGGAGGGCACTCAGCCGAGGGAAGCGCATGGTCAGCACGCAGGTGGGGTGGGGTTAAAGGGGGGGTAGGTGCCACCATTGGCTGTCTAGTGCCAACATACAGGGCGTGCTGACGAAAAACACCAAAAATGCATGGAATTCATATTAGTCATCCTGGAACTTTTCTTTCTGGCTAATGATACCCCAATGATGGTGCCAGTAGTGGAGTTATACCTCCGGCAGCAGAGGGTTTAAACAATGTATGTGCATAATGAAATGCTGCACATACAGGCTGCAGGCATCATTACTACTTCAGTTCAGTGAAGTAGACATGGTGCTTGGTGTAACCCTTTAACTACCTATATAACTTCATTCACCATGAAAATGGCACTCTGCGGTTATGGCAGCCCATCCTATTAATGTAGAAAAACCCTCAGCATTCCATATGCCTGTAAAGCCAACCCGAAAATTCCATACACCAGCCATATCAAACCCAAGTTAGCACTGTGTTCTCAGCTGCCCTCTTCTGCTCTACAAAAATAAAAATAATTGCAATAACCCAAAACTACATTCCAAGAGTTACCCAAAAAGCATAATTATGCAAAAATTCAAATGAGGTTAGGCCCAAAATGTATCATAAAGCTTCATGTAATCTCCTCACCAAGTTGATCTACACCCAAGACCACCACCAGTGTCAAGAGGTTTTCCTCAAGTTCTCCAAAAAAAAAACCCAATTCCCAATCCCATTTTTTTAACCGATGGCATGTGGTTTCACATTGTATTTGCCTTTCTCTTTTGTGTTTTGCCTTCCTTTTTATAAATCTGCCTTGAAGGAACACTATACCCTTAGGAATACAAACGCCATAGTGTCCTCTAGCTGTTCTGGTTTCCTTCAAGAGCATGAAAATGATGATTTTTACTTACCTTTTCTCCATTACCATGTTGCTCTTTCCACTGACACCCCGCCTCCTTGGCTGATATTATCAGCAGTGGTGTATCCTGGTTTTGTGCTGCCCTAGGCAGGACAAAACTCAGGCGCCCCCCCCCCCTCCGCGACAGCCCCCCCCCCAACCCTTCCCCCCCGCCCCGCCCACTAAATACACACACACAGTCAGACACAAACACACACACACAGTCAGACACACACACACATACACAAACACACACACAAACACAGTCAGACACAAACACACACACAAACACAGTCAGACACAAACACACACACACACATACACAAACACAGTCAGACACAAACACACAGACACACATACACAAACACAGTCAGACACAAACACATACACAAACAGTCAGACACAAACACTCACACACACAGTCAGACACACACACACACACAGTCACACACACAGTCAGACACAAACACAGTCAGATACAAACACACACACTCACAAACACAGTCAGATACAAACACACACACTCACAAACACAGTCAGACACACACAGAGTCAGACACACACAGAGTCAGACACAAACACACAGTCAGACACATACACAGACACAAACACAGTCAGACACAAACACACACACAAACACAGTCAGACACAAACACACACACACACACAAACACACACACACACACAAACACACACACACACAGTCAGACAAACACACACTAAACACAATCAGACACACACACACAGTCAGACACATACACAGACACAAACACACAGTCAGACAAACACACAGTCACACACAGTCAGACACACACACTCACAAACACAGTGAACACACACACACACACACACTCACACACACACACACTCACAAACACAGTCAGACACAAACACACACACACACTCACAAACACACACACTCACAAACACAGTCAGACACAAACACACACACACACTCACAAACACACACACACACTCACAAACACAGTCAGACACAAACACACACATTAACTTTTTTTTTATTTAAATCACCCCCCAACCTCCTTACCTTTGGGAGTGCTGGGGGGGGGGTCTCTATCCCTGGTGGTCCGGTGGCTGCAGGTCAGGCGGGCGGCTGACGAGGGAGCTCTTCCTTTGAGCTGACTGCTCAGCTCCCTCGCGCGCCGGCTGCAGAGTGAGGCTGGGAGCCGGAATATGCCTAGGCATTTGCCCTGGGCATTTGGGGGGCGGCGTTTTTTGCCACCCCCTGAAAAATGCCGCCCAAGGCAAATGCCTTGTTTGCCTCGCGGCTAATACGTCCCTGATTATCAGTTCTAATAAGCTCAGGTAATCCAATTAGCCTGCGTATGGAAGCATTGGGAAGCTAGTGCCCATGCGCAGCAAATTGTCGTGCCAAGCCAGTCAAATGCTGCTCTAGGAGCAGTGGCTGTCAAGAAAAAAAAAGACAGAATAAGCTTCTACAAAATGTTTTGCAGGGTCAATATTACAGGGGTACTGCACCGAAACCAATTTGTTGAGATGAAGTGGTCTAGGTGTATAAGCTTTGAATTATTAAAATAAAAAATAAATTGTAAACGTTGAAATTTCCTTAAATAACACGTTAGGTACCATAAACGCTAGAGTACATTTACTCAGCATTTAGTATGTGTGAAGAAATTCCCCTATTTTGCTTTAAAATGACAATTTGTATTCCCTTCTTTCATGTTAGCTTTCCCTATGGCATTCGGTAGGTAAAACTACTGTAACGTGACCACCCCGTTGCCCATTATGAATACTTTAAATCCCTGCTTGCTGGGCATGTTCGACAAAAGTTCTGCACGAACGATATGCACCGCCGCCATTTCGGGACTTCCACGTGTTCGCGGCTATTTTAGCTCCCGAACAGCGGCGTTTGCCGTCGAGTGTCTGGAACTGAAAACGGACACTCAAATAGGCGAACACCGTTGAATCCTCCATACCTTTGGTAAAACCCCATTAAAACTACCGAACGACCGGGCGTTCGGTAGAAAGACTCACTGACAGATGGGGAGTCAAGCGAACCATGGATGGTAGCTGGATGGCCGGCCGTTTGGGAGGTTTTTCATGCGACCTAAGACCGACTGCAGGGCCAGAATTTGTGGAACTGTTTTCGGCTACTTTGCCCGTGCAGTCGGTCAAAACTTCTAAGTCCCATATCTCCCGAATGGCTGTACCGAACGGACTGTTTTTTTCCATATGTTGGTCCCCCAGAGTACAGCTATCTGGGGATACCTTGGGGTACATCCAGACTTTGGGGAAATTATGTTCCGTTTTAATTATGTTAAATGGTTATCTGAGGGGAGGAGATGTACAGTATGTATATTGTTATGATTGGTTGTACAGTTAATTATATGGGAGGCTCCCTTGCATGGGCAGAATCCCATAAAAAGAGAATGCCTGTCAATAAATCTTTAGTTCATCTTTGTACCCTTCTTCTGACTACGTATGCTGTTTGGGAGTTCGTGTGTTTTACTGAGGGAATTATCCAGGGACACTATTGGAATTACACTGGGATTCGTCTACCATAACTACCGAATGGAGGGCTCTGTTCACTGGGCTCTGGCGGTTCGGGAGGAAACTACCGATTGAGGTTTAAATGTACTTGGTTTCCTTACAGTATGATATGGCAGAGGCAAAGGCTCTTTTCATGACGTAGCACATGTAGCACACAGTGACAGGCTGAGATCGTCATCGTACCACTCTTAGCCAATCACTGCCCCAACCTCTGGTATGAATTGGTATGGCATGAGGTGGCATGGTATGGCATGAGGTGGAAGCATACGCCTCTGCCATATCATCATTTGAGGCTGGGCTAAAGTACGAGTAAATGGACTCAATTCTTGGAAGTGGTTTATAGTGCCTAGCACGGTCCTTTAAAGGTGAAACAGACTCATAGGACACAAATATGTCTGAAACTCTTTTGATTTTATACAATGAAAAGACCTTAACTCTACAAATGATATTGAACAAAAACAATGTTAAAGGGACTTTCTGACAAAGCTTAATGTAGTGGTTATGGTGTAAAGATGTTGTCCCTGCAGTTTGAGCAATGCAAACACTGCCTTTTATGGGACTAGGCAGTGCTTATAGTTCTTCCTAAAGCTACATCTAGTGGCTGTCACTGTGGTGTGGTCCTTCACTCTTTGCAGGGTCAAACGTTTGACTTCTTCACACTCAGCATGAAGGCGTCAGACACTCCCCATATAGATGCTTATTAGTAAATTGTGTGATTGCTGTGCCTGAGCACTTCCCAGTGCTTTCCTATGGTGAAGCATTGGATTGGCAGAGATGATCAGTAATTATGTGTTAACCAAGGGAAGGGCAAAACATTCAGAGTGATGAAGGTGGGTAAAACTATTAATTGTATTACTTCCCTAAAGGCGGTAATTCTGAATTATTAGTATAACACTAACATTGGGATTACCTATTTGTATTCCTAACAGTGTGTTCCTTTACAGGTATACAGATTCCTTCTGCTTTTACTTATAATACAAGAGTCATGAAGATCTTGAAATTAAAACAGGAGAGAGAGAAAAATGGCAGTTTTAGTAACCGTGCCAGGAATGTGAAAGGCCTTAACCACAATGTTAAGCACTGAGCAAATGTAAACTAAAGACCTCAGAAGGTTGATTTTGGCGCTGAGTTTGCATTAAGTGAGTTAATAACCCGCACTACCCCTCCTGCTGCATCTATTTAAAGGTTTGGCAGTCGAGAATTCTCCAAACTCTGTTTAAAAAGTAAAAAACAAATCCCCGTCTGTAATTTCTTTAGATATTCTAATGTAATTGAGGCGGCTTTCCTGCAATTAAACACACCGTGTCTCCACAATAAACTCCACAGTTTGGCATTATCTCAACAGCAAAAGCAATACAATGGTAGTTTTTAAATGGACATTTGAGACGTTGCACTTGTTTGGGGCAATGTGTAGGTTAGATTAGAGTTAGTTAAGTTGATTGTTCCTTTATGAAACTTCTATAATTTTTTAAACATTTTTTAAAAATTATTTATGTTCCGTGAGCCCACATTTTCTGTGTTCCTTCCCACCCTAGACTGCTCCCTTTTTTGCCCAAGTCTGGAGAATTGCATTTCTTATAGAATAAGCTCAGTAGCTCTACAGAACGTTAACGAGATACTCTATGTACCAAACAAACTTTAGCTGAGAGGGACACTACAGTCACCAGAACCACTACAGCTTTATGTAGTGGTTCTGGTGTCTATAGCCTGTCCCTGCAGGCTAAGCAATGAAAATGCAGTGTTTTAAATTGCTGCCTAGTAACATCTATAGTGACAGTCCCTCGGACGGCCACTAGAGGTGTTTCCTATGTTCATCATTTGCACGCTCTGCATGCAGACACTGAACTCTCCCCTAAGAGATGCACTGATATAATGCATCTCTATGAGGAGATGCTGATTGGCGCAACACATCATTGTGCCGTACATGCACAATAGCCTTCCTATGGGAAAGCATTTGATTGGCTGAGCTCATCTAAGGACCAGGGCCGGACTGGGAAAAAAATTAGGCCCGGGCATTTTTCAATCAGAGCGGCCCCCTAAGAAGGGGGCGGGGCCAGAGAGTGTGTGTTTTGTCATCACTAATGACAACACGCCCCCTCTCAAAGTGAGCATGTTGGTTCAATGCCCAGAGCCCCGCTGAAGAGCTCTGGCATTAGAAAAAGGCCCTGAATTTGTTCTGCGCAGCGCAAGCAAATTTAATAACATGCTTGCGCTGTGTTTGCTTTTAAATTGTCTCTGGTGTCTCCACAAGTGGGATACCAGAGGACAAAAGGGCCAGGAAAGTGCATGGTGCATATGTTTGGAGCCTGCTTGTGGGATTGCGTGTGTGTAGAGTGTGGTGTGGTATTGTATAAATAGGTCAATTTAATTTGTGTTTGTGGTGTAATATGTGTGGCTAGGGGCTGTAGAGAGTGTGTGTATAGGGGCATAGTTTTATAGGGGATGCAGCGAGTGTGTGCATACGGGCTGAAGTGTGTGTGTATAGGTGACGTAGTGTGTGTAGGGGTTGCAGAGAGGGTGTGTTTAGAGAATGTTGTATGTGTTTGCTGACAAGGAATGTAGTGTGTGTGTGTAGGAGATCTACTGTGTAAAGGACCCAGTGTGTGTGTGTGTGTGTGTAGAGGATTAAGAGTGCATATAGGGTAAGAGATCTAGTGTGTATCTGGAGCGTAATGTGTGTGGTGGTGTGTGAGGGGTACTGTAGTGTGTGTGTGTGTGTGTGTGTGTATGTATATATATATATATATTTGGACTTATTGTATGTGTGAGGGGCGCAGTGTGTGTATGTAAGAGGGGTGCTGTGTGTGAGGGTGTTTTTATCTGCTGTCACATTCTAGGTTTCTAATTTTCTTTGTCTGTTAACTCACTGAGGGTTATTTTATATATATATATGTGTGTGTGTGCTGTATATGTGTGGGAGTGTGCTGTGTGTGTGAGTGAGGGTGCTGTGTGTGTCTGGGGGGTGCTGTGTCTGGAGGGTGCTGTGTGTGTCTGGGTGCTGTGTGTGTCTTGGTGCGCTGTGTGTGTCTGGGGGTGCTGTGTGTGTCTAGGGGTTCTGTATGTGTCTGGGGGTGCTGTGTGTGTCTGGGTTCTGTGTGTGTCTGGGGGTGCTGTGTGTGTCTGGGTGCTCTGTGTGTGTCTGGGTGCGCTGTGTGTGTCTGGGGTGCTGTGTGTGTCTGGATGCACTGTGTGTGTCTGGGGGTGCTGTGTGTGTCTGTCTGTGTGTGTCTGGGGTGCTGTGTGTGTCTGGGTGGGTGTGTGTCTGTGTGTGGGGTGCTGTGTGTGTCTGGTGCAGTGTGTGTCTGGGGGTGCTGTGTCTGGGGTGTGCGTCTGGGGGTGTTGTGTGTGTGGGGTGCTGTGTGTGTCTGGGGCTGTGTCATGGGGTGCTGTGTGTGTCTGGGGGGGTGCTGTGTCTGGGGGTGCTGTGTGTGTTTGGGAGGTGCTGTGTCTGGGGGTGCTGTGTGTGTCTGGGTGGTGCTGTGTCTGGGGGTGCTGTGTGTGTCTGGGGGGTGCTGTGTCTGGGTGCTGTGTGTGTGAGTGAATGTATTTTTTATTTAAATTTAAATATATATTTTTTACTAATAAAAAAATAAAATAATTATTTCCCCCCCTCCCTTCTTACCTTTATCCTGGGGGGGGGGAGGGGGGGGCAGAGGAGATCCATTATGCCTGGGGGGTGGGGAGCCATGCTGCCTTCCCTGGTGGTCCAGTGGTGAAAGTGAACTCTAACCTGCAGGTTAGAGTTCACTCTTGCGAGATCTGAGCGTTGCCGCGGCAACGCTCAGAATCCCGCGAGAGGACCGGCGGAGCTGCTTGTTACAGCTCCGCCGGGTCCTCTCTCCTGCCTCCCTCCCTCACCCAGCCGGCGGCCGCATCTCCCTGCCTCTGGGCCGGTGAGGGAGATCTTTGATCTCCCCACCGGCCCACGGAGGCACACAGCAGGGCCGGCGCTCGGATAGCCCAGTATGCCCGATGGCCAATCTGGGCCTGCTAAGGACCTAAATATTTACTCCAGCACTTTAGTGTCAGGAATACTTGTTAGTATTCTTAACACTGTAGTGTTCCTTTAATGAAGCACCTTTGGTGTATAGGCCATGCCTCTGCAGTGCCACTTCTTATTTCCCTGCCATTTAGGAGTAAAATCTATTTGTTTATGGATCCCTAGCCATACCTCTCCTGGCTAAACCTCATGCGATCCATGGAAAAAGGTTTCATTTCTACAGCACAGCGTGTTTACTTCAGAAGTTTTTATCTGCTGCTCTGTTATTTGATCTTTTTGTTCACATACAGGAGTATGATGTAAGCTACAAAAGGCAGGTAGGTTAAACAAAATTGTTGTTTTTCAGAA